TTGTTCAAATTTTCTAGAATAAAAATATTTCTTTTAAAAGCAGAAAATGCTACCAAAGCCTTCTGTTAATATATGTAAAACATATTAGATACACTCGCCAGAACAAATTAGTTTCAATGAAACACACTGCCTTCATGACTGATATCAATAACTTCACTTCAAAAAATGACAGCAACACTAAAGCAATAGTTCAAAAGTGGGAGTTAGAAAAAGGCAACATTACAAGTCTAGTTACTAAAATCAGGATTAAGTCAATTACTTCACACTATCAAAGTTCCAAATGTTTAAGAAAGTCTGCACAAACGTTACCTATCGTGAATTCTAAGAAATTGAAAAAAATATATATTTTCAATAAGAGTATCCCCGAACTCCCCTCTCACATTTCTTTCATGACTCCCTCCCAAGGCCTCCTTCCATCAATTGTGTACCACCACCAACACCAATTCGAAGAAAGTTTTGAAAAAAACAACTCGCCCAATGTAGGGGGAAATAAACACCAGCCACAACCTTCTCCTAGCCCTTGTCTCGCCTGCACATAAAAAGTCAAAAGCCTCTGAGATGCATCACTGCCACTAAAACCTCCCACTACCACTAAAACCTCCGAAGTTTTGAGGCTGCAAACAAAATGACTCTGCGCCATCTCTTCTGTTACCGGAGTTTTACCTTCCTGAAGGAACCCCGGCACAGGGAACCCCGGAAAATCCTGATACCACAGGGATCATGCTTCACCTCCCTGTTTCCTGATGCACCCCAGTTCATTAACTGGCACCCCAGTTCCCAGTAAGTCTGATGAAATGAAGAATGAAGACACATATTCCTATTAGTGTGCGCGTGTGTACACAACGTGCTTTAATACCTGACGTGGATAACCTTGCTGTCGAAACAACAGTATGAAGAAAAACAAATTACACGCCGCTTCACCCCATTCTGTTGGTTAAACAGCGTCTTGGAAGGACATATTCCAGCGACTCCAACCCCTCGAATAAACCCTTCTGAATCCCGGTCTCCGCCACCCGGCTGTCACTTCGGCTCCTTCGCCCAAATCCTTCCTGATGGTGGAGGGCGGCCCCGGGCCCGCTCCTCCCAACAGCGGGTCCCGAACCCACCCAGCCTCTCCCGCAAACGCCCACTGCCAGATCTCGAGCGGCCGGCCGGCCGGCCGACGAGGCCGAGGATTCCGGCCTGGCCGGAAAAGTAAAGTGGGCGTTAGCTCACTTTCGGGTAGTTTTTCCTCCGGCCCCTCACCCGGCCCGAGCCCGGAGCCCCGGCGCCGCTCACCCTCGGGCAACTCCACGGTGCGCGCGCGGCGGAGCGAGCGCGTGAGGCGATTCAGCTGCTCCATCGCTCTCTC